ACGACCTCCAACAACTCCATTGCTGATCAGTGGGGACAGATAAACTGGTTGCTCTGGGCAATCGACACTTCACAAATACCTAACGAAAAGATAATATCAGACAGACAAACGCGTAGATTCCTCGCGGTCGCTACTGGCTGTGACTCGCGTTGATTTGGCGCTGTCAGCCGCCTGGATTCAAACAATACTAACCACTCTGATGTGGTTGTTGTCTTTGTGATACCATCAACATTATCCACTCCCCCGTCCACCTAGATACATCTCTAAGATCACAATATGAGAAAACGTAGATGAACCTGTCATTGATGGGAAGTGTTTGAAACTGATTTGATGGTTTTTCCTGTTTTCCGTTAACCTCCAATAGTAACCGGGTCAACGAGATCAATGGAAGATCAAGTCAATGCGGAACCAATAAATTGAGATCACTTATTTCCAAAAGAAAAATTACTCTGCTCCGCCAACCGTTATTGTTTCACCTAAATCCATTGACTAAGTGTACTTCGCATATCCCCCGGCTGTCCATGACACCATTCCAGTGTTACTAAACTGACACACTGAATAAACCTGCGGTTTGTTCCTTATAGTCATCCATTCTTTATGGTTGTGAAGTGCTAAAACTCCAATAGGCTTTTAGTTGAACGGATACTCTGCTTGCACCAATCCGACTTCGCACTGAGCAGGATGTGTACTTACCTTCAACATCAAGTGCTTTAGCTATTTTCGAGTCAGCACGAAAACAGGCGATTTGACGAGCTTTATTTTGCGACACCAGAGGAGTTCTAATTAGGTTTTTCATCTTCACACTTGCATTTCTAACATAGATCATTTCTCCTTATCTTCTCCTACAAAGGAATAAAAACAGCCATCTTTGCTCGATCGTTCTTCTTTTGTTCTTGATCTTCATTATTTGTTGGACAAGAGCTTCTCGCCTTATTCTTGACGCTTTTCGCAAGTCAGACGCATTTCAGTGCGATCAAGTCTGACTTACCGAGTGAGCATCCGCTAAGACCCCAAACACTACCTATGACTGTTACCGCTGACAATTCAGAATACGGAATCGGAGCCGTTTTGCTACCAGAATTCTCAGATGACAAATGTCTCCAGATCACCATTAACAACAGAAAAGACCTCTAGTAAAGTTGAAAACAAGAAGCTAGGGCTTATTTTTGCACTAAAAAAGTTTCAAAGCTGCTTCATGGAGGAAAATTTACCCCGTTTACTGATTATAGGACGTTACCATACATTTTAGCCACGAACACGGCAGGCCCAATACACACGGCAAGTTGGTCATAGTGTTGAGTCGCGAATTCAATAGAATATGATTTTAAGTATGCTAAAATAATACCGCTAAGTTCTGGATACGATGATTTTCTTTCTAGTCCATTGGTTGTCCATGACATCCGTCTACCTCATGAGGATATTGCAGTTACACGAATGGCTTTTGGTTGCAGTGTTCATTTCATTTTCGAAGATTCCGTCTACAGTCTGCCAGCAATCTCTACAGTGAGCTGCCATCAGAAATCGAGGGCCAGAGTATTACATCATGCGATTATCCGCTGTACAACCCGTTACGTTAAGGGCCTTCTAAATAGAGCTTGCTAAGAATTTTGCGGGAGATCAACCTGATCTGTGGAATGAATGCGCTGAGTCCTCGGTCAGTTTTCGGTCCTCATGCGTTGCAGTCAGTTGTGGTAAGACAAGTTCAATGCTGTTACATCAACGCCATCGCTCGAGGTGAGACATACTGACCATTTATGGATAAGCAAGTCGAACGTATAGTTAGAATCTGCGACGAATGTTTACGGACAACTTAGCTACCGCCTAAGGCGGAACCTCAATTTCCAGTTACCCCATGGTCTGATATTCACGTAAAGTTCGCTGACCTCATCGAATATTTGTTATACTTTATAATTGCCGATACATATTTTATGTGATCGAAATTATTCCAATGTGTATTACGTCAACAACCACAGTCGTCGCTAACTTGATAGAACCCTCAACCGATACGCGACGTACAGTGGAACTCCTATCTTCGTGATGAATATGGATGGTAAAGAGCTGTAATCAGTAGAAGGGATTAATCTTCTTTCATGCTACACCTTACCTTAATATAGTCTTCAAGGCGTTCGGGTAGCGAAACGGCGCCAGTTTCGTATTCGAAAGCACCAGCTGCTACAGTCATGGGTAATTTGTAGTCAGAATGACTGAGAAG